TGTTTTCCTTAAAATTTGAACTAACACTAACTTTATTCTCATCTGAATGATAGATTATTTATTTCTGTATAAAATAAAAACACATTTGATTTTTCTTTTTTAATCAATGTAACTGAAAAAATAAACAGATTAGGGCTCTGATCGAGGACAATAATGTCAAAAAAAGAATCAGGGCATGTCTCATATCTTTCTAAAATGTAATTATACACCATTTATTTTTATATAAAATTATACAAATATTAGAACTAAACCCATTTTATTCCTTTTTTTCAATTTAAGAATTATTTTTAAGTTTAAAAACAGCCAGAATGGTTGTTTAGTCAAAAATAATAATAATCCAAATCATATATAGTGCTATACTGCCCTCTTGTGTTCAAAATCAGGTAGGCCTATTGAATTTATATATTTATATATTAGGGATGTTACTATGGGAATATTTTCCCACCGGTTAATCAACGTGTGATTGTGTAAACCAATTGTGTAAACCTCCCGCTGGGGGGTTTAAAAACACTAACTTGAAAGCGAAAGTATAATATGGACGTCCGCACGGACATTGAAATGGTGGCGCTCGAATGAATTTCTATGGAAGTAGAAATTAACTAAACGTTCGCTCTGTTCTGCTCGCTCGTCGCCATGGACGCGCACCGTTATGAATGCCAGTGCAGCCGCATACTTTTTAGTGTCACTAAAATTAGTGCAATTTCGGGGGCCGATTGCTTGAATTGTGAGTTCAATAGTCTATTATTTTTCACGGAAAACACAACAATAAAAGAGTACAATGACAGATTCGCTTAAATGGGCGTTTTTACATAAAATAGCCTATTCCGTCATCATCTTTTCAGTCAGCTCTTCACTCTCGTGATTAATGAAATTTGACTCCTGTTGCTGATATTTGCTGCAACTTTCGTTCAGCTCACAATTTAGTAAGCAAACACGTTTCAAATGTGTTTTTATTTTATTTTTGTGTATGTGTGTGTATATGTATGTATATATATAAATATAGCTTATGTTTCAAATATGAGTTAATTAACAATCGTTGGAAAGAATGATACTTTTAAACATAACACTAAACCGTCATTAGGTGTCGCCAGGCGACCGTCTTAATGAGCGAGTCATTGATTCATTCGTTTGAACGACTGAGTCATTCATGAATGAGATAGATGTTTATGGATTGATTGGTCATTGAATCTTTGAGTCAACCGATTCGTTCAAAATGCTGAATCATTCAGTAATGAGAACGCGTTGCTGTGAGATGCGCGATGGTTCTGCTGTGATCTTTGTTTAACTATTTTCGCTGCTGAAACAGAAAAAAAGTCAATATTGCATGTAAAATGTAAGTGATTTGACTTGTGTGTGTGTGTGTGTGATTGTGTGTGTGATTGTGTCTGTTACAGTGATAAGAGTTTAACCCTTGTTAAACTTTAGGCCTTGTCTTTTTGGATATATATCTTTTTATATTAAAAAATAGTCATACAACCCATATATTTTAAATGTATTGTTTGCTTTAAATTACATTAAGATTGTATGTTTGGTAATTGAACCTGAATGAATTTTAAATGAATGTGCTATATTTCAGATCATATATTTGTTTTCCTTAAAATTTGAACTAACACTAACTTTATTCTCATCTGAATGATAGATTATTTATTTCTGTATAAAATAAAAACACATTTGATTTTTCTTTTTTAATCAATGTAGAATGTGTAACTGAAAAAATAAACAGATTAGGGCTCTGTTTGATGACAAGAAATGAAAACCAATGCGATATGATGAATGTCCAAAAGATGGCTCCCACAGACTGTTTTTAAATAGGATTGTTTGATATTTTTTGCTTTTAAACTGTGTGTGTGTGTGTAAGAGATTTTGGTTGGGTGACAGTTGTAGTTTACAGTTTGACAAGAGTTTATAGCTTGACAAAAGCACAATGTTGTGTTTTATTGCAAGTGTACACAAATATAAGTAAACACTTTGCAGTTTGAATAATGTCCTGTATGAACAAAAGGACGGAGTATGTTTTTATGTCTACATTGTTCAATTACGCCACACACACACACACACACACACACACACACACACACACACACACACACACACACACACACACACACACACACACACACACACACACACACACACACAAACACTATTTTTCTAATCAGATCAGGCAAGTAATATTCTGTCTTGTCTCTTAAAAAAACAATATATATATATTTATGTATATATATATATATATATATATATATGTGTGTGTGTGTGTGTGTGTGTTTGTGTGTGTATATATATAAATATAGCTGCGAGCAGCGATGAAAGGGCCAAAGCCGGCGGCACCGCCACCCCGGTTATAGCGCCACCAACTGGCAGCAGGAAGTCTGTCACTTTCAAAAAGCTTTGAAATCACCTGATTGCTTCAAACTTCACTACTATGATGTAAACACACGGCAGATGTAGACCTGGATGTAGACCTGACCTTTCAGAAGGTTGCTCTCGCATACTTTGTGGTTGATATGTGCCCTCAATGCACACTTTTGCAGAGCCCACACTGATACAAGCTCTACAGCACACTTCTTTTCGACAGTCAAAGCAGGGTTACGTTTTTGCACGTCGTGCACAATAACCCTAAAGGCACCAGGGTGGCGGTGCCACCGGCTTTATATATATATATATATATATATATATATATATATATATATATATATATATATATATATATATATATATATATATATATATATATAAATATAGCTGCGAGCAGCGATGAAGGGCCAAAGCCGGTGGTACCGCCACCCCGGTGCCTTTAGGTAACTAAAGGCACCGGGGTTGCGGTGCCACCGGCTTGGGCCCGTAATCGCTGCTCGCAGCTATATTTATATTTTTTTTCCGAAAATGTTGGCAGGGAAAGAGAGATTGCTATTTTAACTTACAATTTGATGCAAACTTTATTTCATTGACTGCACTCTGCATTAATAATAAAGTTGTAAATAATCTAACCTAATATTTATCACAACACATCTCTAAACAGTAACTCACACTAACAGATTGAAAGTACACTCCTTTCTTGTGTATCTGAGTTCTTTGGACCCAGATAAGATTTTATTAAAGATAAAGAGTGAAGTTTGTGAGCTTCCTGAAGCTGTGTTATTGTGCATGGGCAGAATTTAGTGGTTTTATAGTACGCTTGGCTGACATTGTAAAATAAGGCACAAGCCTGATAGAAACAAACTTAACAAACTAAACAGTCCCAAAATATTGGCTTTGACAATTCTGTTTATCTTTACTGTTACATCAAGTATTTAGGCCTGCAATCTTCCTGACTGACTTTCCCATTCTTAAAGATGTCTCGGTTACGTTGGTTCCCTGAATAGGGAACCAACTTAGAGAACTATGGTTACATAACTAACTGAGACTTTCCCTTTCATAGGTTCACTCAAGCTGCATAGCCATCACAATTTGGAACAATATACCATAACTCTTTCACATTTGAAAAATGTGAAAGAGTTATGCCCATTCTTCTATGACACATTATATGTTTGAGTGCTCAACTCCATTAATGAGAGTAGAATATTTATGCTACATAAAATGGTAAACAGAGTTTAAATTCTTTTTTTTTTAAACTTCATTATTCCGCTCACAAAACGGGCGTGTGCGGCGCTGAACACATAGGCTATATGGCTAGCTGTAAAGAAAATGTTATGCGCTATCTAAGCTACTTAAACAAAATGATGATATATTACACATATTACTAAAAAATTTTTTTAGCACAATCTACCTAAATAAATAATGTAAAATCTCCTAAATTGTTTATATGACACAATTAACTTAATATTATAAGTGATTATTACGGTGCTTTTTTATTTTAAGTTGATTATTAGCAAATGGAAAATACCTGTTTGAATTTTACTTTGGGTTATGATACAATTAAAAGTAGGCTATGTCTGCAGCACAGCACAAGAAGAAACTTGCTGCACTGACATTAGCTAAACTATTGCGCATTGAGCAACATACACACACATCACAGTATTAGGCCTATAGCCTACATGCAGTTATCCACAACCTAAGCTCTTCTGCACATTAACGATTACAAACTTGAACACAACAGAAACTCGTTTATATCCCAATTAAACACAAACAGATGTTTCCCTTCACTCAAAAAATCAGTCACCTCCAAATGGTGTCTCCAAATGAAATCGCGATAATTTAACTAATTCTTTTAAAAATAGGCAGCCTTGAATCCTTAATTTGATCAGCTTTAACGGTCCCTCAATTGAAGTCTCAAAGCTCCTTAAGATTCCTTTAAAAAAAGAGGAAAATGTAGGATGCTTTCTCTTGCATGGTTTTATTAGTAAACTGTTCTCAGTATTTTTTATACAACACTGAACCACAATTTCTTTAATAAAGTATACAAACTATTTCAATTAATAAATTAAATTACGAAATTACGTTTTTACAAAAAGCGGCTAAACGTTTCTGCCTGATTTGGAATAGGCTACTCTCAAACAGTCGCATGAAAAGATAAAAGGCCTACGCAAAGTGACAGCCTCATGGAATAATGCTAGGCTATAATGTAAGGATGTTGCTTTCTTTTTTATGTGTTTTTATTTGTATTTTCAACGAACAGTTGTTATGCTGGTAAGTCAATGTGAAAGTGTAACTTTTTAAAAATTAATTAATATAAAACAAAATAAAGTAGGCTAGCTAATTCGGAAACACAGTGCTCGTTTTGTTTTAGATGTAGGCTACATCATCAGATTATGGCATGCATTTGATAATTTTATAGGCCTAATTCAAATGGTTTATATTAGTAAAAATCAATAATAGATATTACAAAAAAAGACAATGATTTTTGATATAAAGTCTAGCTTTTTCTGGTTAAAATATATCTATGAATCTTCATAATTCAATGAAAAACGGTGCCGTTTGTGTGTATGAACCACTGATCTATATAATGACATTCTATATAGATCAGTGGTATGAACCCTCGTGCAGTCAGGTGTGAAACTTACCTCCGTCATGCAAGATCATTCCAATAGTTCCTCCGGTGTTTATGACCAGGACCCTCGCCTCGACATCGGTACTCAGATCAGGAGAGCCCGAACTGTCGCAAGGGACTCTCCTGCGACCCTTTCCCACGGCGCTTCGGCAGAGAGACTTCTGCGACTGAAACACATCAGATTGATTTAACCTGTTACTCAGCGATGTCATGCTTGCTTAAGCCCAAAACTAACCAACAATTTATTTGAGAGACAACGCGTTGATTTTAAAAAGGCTACTCGCACCTAACGTGCTAAGCCTTAATTAACAGGCTATAGCTTGATCAACACTTTTATTAACACAACAAACCGTATCACTAGGCTATATCAGAAAATGTGAGTTTTACAATGAGTAGTAAAAGAAACCTTTGTCTTATCAATCGAGTAAAAAAAAAAAAAAAATCTTACCAGGAAATTCAAATCCATTTCTTTTTTCTTTTCTTTTTTTTTGTAAGGCTATGTGAATTCACGTAGAATGACTGTTGAAGATGCTCGTGCATATTTACAATTTACTCTTTTATTTGTTGCAGACATGAAGTGAAACTTTGTTTAAGCCAATGAGGGCGCTGGACAACTTTCACGTGACTGCGAAATAAATAAATACAACTTTTCTGCGAATTGCATGAGGTAGGCCTAAATTAAATTAACGGCTGTTGCAATAACACGACTTTTAAAAATTACATGGTCATCATAATTGATTTCTTTATTTTTCGTTTTCCTTTCATTCTATCGTTCAAAGTTGCTCACCCAGCAGGCTGAGTTAGACATTTAATAATATCTCGTAATACACACAAAGTAGATGACGTTTTAAAATGCTGAGCTGTGATCACTCTAAAATATTAGCCAAAATTTAAATTAAAGCACTAAAATATTGACCAAAACTAAATTAAACATATCTTAAAGAGTTCTGATGTTGGAATGGCAGAATTCATATTGTCAGGATGCTCTTCACAACTGGAATAAGCAGTGAGCAAATAATAGCTATAGCAAGCACTTAATCAACTCCCAATCATGAATTAAAATGTTGGGTTTACTCAAATTTATATATATATATAAAATATTTCTGAATATATAATTCTGTGCAATATGGATAAATAAATGAAACAAATTATTAAAATAAAGTCGAGACAACTCAATTTGATTAGGCTTTAGAAAGCTCAAGAGCTGATAAAGGCTCATAATTCATATAACTCAGGATTCTCTTCTATTAATTCATCGATTAAGTGCTCTAGCTATTTGACATAATCGCTGCTTATCCAGTTGTGAAGAGAATCCTGAGAATATGAATTATGAGCATTTTTCAGCTTTCCAAAGCCTAATCAAATTGAGTTGTCCCGACTTTATTTTAATAATTTGTTTCATTTATTTAAAGTTATGCATATTGCACAGAATTATACATTCAAAAATATTTTATTAAATATAAATTTGAGTAAACCCAACATTTTAAGGATTTAATTTTTTTTTTTAAAATTACTCATTTCTTTAAGCTATGCCAACTAACTGGCAGTATTTATTTTGAGTGTTGTGAAACTGTTATCTGTCAAGTAAGCATATTTATGGTAACCCATGACTGGTAACAGTTTATGTTTTTGCAATTATTCACAAATGATGATGACCATGTAATTTTAATGGTCATATATATAACCCTGCAACATCAAGTGACAATAATTTTAGGAACTTAAAATTCACAGAAAAGTTGCCTTATCCAATCTAAATGTTTTTGTTTATTTGCCTGTTACACCATACAGGCCTGTGCAGTGCAGTCTTGGTCCTGTCCAAGCACTGCACATTTAGATGTCTCACTAAGTTGATGCAGTTGTTTGATGCAGGTATCGATGAGTTGAATCAGTATTAGCATGGCTTTATGAACATGGTGGTAGATCTGCTGTTTTGGGGGGTGTTTGTCCTATATCCTTTCTGTCTATGTGATATAATTTTGTCAAGTTTCTCATGTCTTCTGCTTGTTGAGGGGTTTTTATGTATGTTTATTTGCTGCAGCAGAATGTATTAAATGTTCATATAGCATGACTGTGTATCTATTGGCACGGGCAGTAGCAAGTCTCTGTACTTGCTCTGCAGCAGCAATAATCAACTGCAGCAGCTTAGCAGATCTAATCCGCCATGCAGGACCAAATACATTACATTGCCATATTCATGCCGAAGAGTTTTCATGACAGAAATACAAAGTTCAGTCATGCAGTTAGTGTAGGCTGATAGGCCCTTAAATCAATCAGCTAGCAATTACGTTGTTATCTCAGTTAGTGTCATTTTAGGTCAGAAAATGTTCACATATAAATTGCACGATAAACACAATGCGTGCTATAGAGACGCATTTACGCGCGAAATTTTCAGGAGAGAAATGTTTGACAATGAGCAGTTAAAATAGGGATGAGTCACGATCTTCGAATAGGCCTATTAGATTAGTTGATTTAATTATAGAATATTCAATAGGTTGTCTAAAAAAAATCACCATGTTTTTGGCGAATAACGCACCTAAAACTAAAAGCTGTCACGATACGGTAAAGTAGCCTAATGATTATGAATGTGTCAAATATAGAAAGGGGACATTTTAATTGTTCATTAATAAACTACTGTTTTCTGTATCAGTGTTGGCTGCAAAGATGAAGTTGAAGATGCTGACTCGCCATATTCTCAGTGAATGCGCCTATAGAGAAATGCACACTTCATACGGATTACATAAGCAGAGAGTAGTCTTGTTTCTTTTCGTTTTGATTTTTTTTAAAGTGGACATTTCAAGCTTTCTATTTATTTCTCATGTCTGTGAGGCAAGTAGCCTATACTACGCTGAGTTTCAGTTCATTTATGAGACGAGCTCCAGTTCACATGCAATCACGCTGGCGCCTCCACGTCCTGATTATATTGTCTGCTATATTTGCTTCTTTTTTATTAAATCCAGGCAATTGGTTGATGAAACAGTGATTAAAATTGAGATACAATTTTAAAAAACGAAATTCACTTTAAAGAAAGGCTTTCTACAAAACAAAACTTAATAAAGTGGTCAAAATCATGTCTGACCCATCGTATGATCTTTTCTCTTACTTATGCTTATACCTATGTTCACTTTTCATAATCAACATCAATGAAATTAAAAAATAACATTATATTATGTAAACATAAATAGTTATCAGTTAACAGCGCACTGCAGTTTGTAATTAAGACATGTTGGAAAAGGTTTATGTTTCATTTTCAATGTGAATATCATAATGTATTCTCTTGAAAATTATTTATTGTCAAATGCAGTGTTGTAGTCGAGACCAGCTCAAGCGAGTCCGAGTCGAGACCGAGACCAGAGAGAGTCGAGTCCGAGTCGAGACCGAGACCAGAGAGGTTGGATAACCTAACTGAATTATGGATGATAAGGCAGACATTTTCAATACATAGTTGAGCTAGAGGCTCCACATCACATCTGACCTGGGTCCTGCTGCATTTGCGCGCCGCGAACGTTATAGTCTCTCTCAAGTCATGTGCAATTGCGCACAAGAAAGTCAGCAATCATTTGGACGTTTCAATCAAACAACAATTTAAAGAAATATTAACATACAGTAATAATCATGACATATTTTGAATGGGACTCGAGTCGAGTGGACTCTGGAATAAGTCCGAGTCCTAATATGTTCGAGTACGAGTCAATTCTGAGTCAAAATGCACAGTCCATGACAAGACCGAGACCATTAAAATGTGGTCTCGAGACCGAGTCCGAGTCTCGAGTTCACAACACTGGTCAAATGTGTGCTGAATGTAAACTCCTCTTAGGAATTTCACATTCAATGCGAATTTTTCTGAGAATATTCGTAATTAAGGAAATCTTTTCAGTGATTGGTCCATGCCAATGTCGTCATCCAAAATCATTTCAAATTCTTCTTTCAATTTAATCGTAGTTAGCGATCAAATTATTATGTATGAACCCAAGGGCGAAGTTTTTGTTTGAACATTGGGGTCCCGGGAGATTCATTTATTTGTTTGTTTGTTTGTTTATTTATTGGAATTTTTTTTTTGTGTGTGTGGTATCATCCAGTGAACCACTTATGTAATACCTGTCTTCAGGTGCACATGCACAAGGTGCATTGCATGTCTGCAGTGCACATGCGTTAAGCTGCATGCATGCCTATAATCCGCATGTGTGAAGCTGAGAGTGCATGTCTGGTACCAGCCCCCATTTGATCCATTCACAGTCATACTGTGAACATTTAATAAATGCTGCTGCTGATCTATACAGGTGGAGCTGGGGAAGGTGGAGGGTTTCTGATAGCGTGCTGCAAATTGCTACAGCAAATACTGCCGCTATATTTGTAAAGTTTTAGCAATGAGCTCATTGGCTGCTGATTCAGCAACATTCAATCAACCGTGGTACTATGAGATAACCATGTGATTGCTAGCAGATTGAGTTAAAGGGGAACTTGGCAACTCTATCAATTTCTTTGCTGATTTTCACTTTTGTTGTCACATGTTTTCTAAACGAGCTCCCCTACAGCTGTGGGGTGTATATTTCACAACACTGTCGTAAAAAAAACTCACTTGCAGCACCCTCCTCCCCCTTTGTACATGGGGTGTTTATGTCAAATTGCCGTAAAGCAGTTCGTTTTCTCTCTCGTTCTCGCTTATCATAAGACTTCCTATTTCCAACTTACCGGGACGTTAGTCCCCATGTTGCAAGGTTGGTTTTCCGCCTGGGAATACTAGGGGGAGCGGGGAAAGTTACAATTATCACCGGAACTTCACCGGAAGTTATTTAACCATCCAAATAAATTTCTAAACGGTTTTAAAGTTGAAATATTGCCAAGTTCCCCTTTAAGGACCTATCAGCCTGCACTATCTAGAACTTCATGACAGAACTTTGTATTTCTGTCATGAAAACTCTTAGGCATAGTAATGTAAATGGCAATGTAATGTATTTGGTCCTCGCGGATTAGATCTGCTACGCTGCTTCAGTTGATTGTTGCAGCAGCAGAGCAAGTACAGAGACTTGCTGCCAATAGATACACAGTCATGCTATATGAACATTTAATACATGCAAAATTATATCAGATAATTTAAGATTGTATAGCCAAAGCCAAATAAAGCTGTTATACAGTAATTGAAAATAAGACTATTGCTATACATTTGTAAAGCTTTACACAGGGTAACGGAGAAATAGACAATACAAGCAAATATACACATGGTGTTGAGAGAGAAAACAGCTGCAGCATCGGCAGATATGAATATCTGCACAATGAATGACACAAACAGAAAGGATAAACACCCCCCAAAACAGCAGATCTACCACCATGACATAAGTTCATAGCCTCGCTAATACTGATTTAACTCATCGACTCATTATATACCTGAACTGCATCAACTTATAGGGAGTTATAGACATCTAAATGTGCAGTGCTTGGATAAAGGACCAAGACTGCACTGCATGTAGGCCTATGTGTATCAGGCAAATAAATAAAAAACATTTTTAGACGGG